AGACTCGGAGCTGCATACCAGCGCTTCCCAGCTGACGGTCAGACGAGTAAATGCACTTGGCTCCAGCGAGAAGACCGGCAAGAAGGTGCAGCCGTTGCGCAACAAAGCGGGTGCAGCCATTGCAGCCACAAAGGTTTATATGGCACGCTTTGGACGCACCTGCCTGGTGCTGAAGCCCACCTCGTCCCGCAATGCCAACACGCCTGCTGACCAAGCGCATCAGCCGTTACACCTCCGTTATGGCTGGCCCCACAAGATGGCCAGAAAAGTAAATTATACAAATAACATTTACCAACGCAATAACCCAAGTAGAATCCGAACTATGAAATTATAAATTGGGCATTTTGGGCAGATTTATTACAAAACTCTCCTCAGGCGCTGCTGCTGCTGCTGCTGCTGTTGACCCTCTTGTTGTCCGGTGCACGGACACGGACAGTTTAAAGCGCAGCCTTGCGCATTGGAACTGATGCAATCGCCTGGCATACGCAGTATGCCATACTTGGCCAGAATTCGCTGATAGACGACATCATTGGGCAAAGCACGGGCGTTCTCTGATTGATAGCGGTTGCTATCAGGCTGGAATTGCGATGGTGCCCGGCTGTTTTGTTGTGGCATCATCATAGTTCCTGCTGTTGCTGGCGGCGGCATTGTTGCATAGTTTATAGCTGTGTTTATGTCTAAATTATTCAAATACTGAGGCTCAATCTGGTTATCTGTTTTCCTCTGGCCAATTATTGACATGCTGCATTTGGGGCTCAACATCTGGCTGCACGTAGTCCTGATATGGCAACTGTTGCTGCAGCTGATGTTGCAACTGTGTCTGGAGCTGATGTTGCAACTGTGGCTGAGGCTGTGGCTGCAACTGTGGCTGCAACTGTGACTGGAACTGTGGCTGCAAATGTGTCTCCATCTGTGGCGCAATCTGTGGCAGCATCTGTGGCAGCATCTGGGTCTCCATCTGCGGCTGCTGCTGTAGTGCTTCATATTGTTGTGTTGGATGCAAGTCCTGCAACAATATTGCATGGCCATTGGCTTGATTAAAGCTCTGTTGGTTTTGGCAGTGGCTGAATCTGTTGCGGTGGATATTGTCCCAATTCGTTGAGATACAGTTGCTGTCGATCCCATTGGAATTGCTGCTGTTGCTGCTGCTCGGCTGACCGATTTGAATAATTGAAGGACGTAGAATTTGCCGAAGGTTGCCCGTCGTAGCCTCGGCTCAAATCATATAATATTTGGCCCCTATTTTCAGAAACAACCGCTCTATGCCTGAGTGGAGGCGACACGATTTCGTTCCGCGTTGTGCTTAAGCTGGAGCTGCGCAATGGGCGCACGTCCATAAGTACGATGACTTCTTTATGCTCCACCTCGGACACACGCCTATTGTTGTATTCGGCATACATGAGACACTTCGATGGGCACTTTTTTCTTGTGCAATAACATACATTCGAACTGATGGAGCTTTCCATTTCCGGGGACTCGACTGCGGAACGTAATCGATACGGTTGCCTTGCAACATTGCTGGAAATGTTTGGTTTAAATTCTGGCCTTGACGGCACTTCGGAACTATCTTCGGTGTGAATATAATTTATTGCTACCGGACGATATTTTTGTGATCTACTCGATTCGCTTTCATTAGTGCGCGAATTGCCCACCATTGGAGTTACATAGCGATTGGTAATATTAATACTGCTTATCTTTCGGGCAGGCTGCATTTCTACTAAGAATTCAGACTCCACGTCACTTGTTTGTGCATGGCCCTCATCTTTGCCAGAATAATCACTATCAGAAGCTTCAAAACGGTTATAAATGTTTCGAGCCGACTTCAGCTCTACCGAAACTTCAGGTTCCACCTCTCTATTTTGTGCTTGGTCCTCGTCTGTGCGATAATAATCTCTTTCAGAAGCTTCAAAACGATTCGAGTAACTTCTTGTGTGTCGGGCAGCTTTAAGATCTGCCAAAGCTTCAGCTTCCACCTCTCTATTTTGTGCTTGGCCTTCATCTGGGCGATAATAATCTCTTTCAGAAGCTTCAGAAAGACTCGAATGACTTCTTGTCTGTCGGGCAGCTTTAAGCTCTACCGCAGCTTCAAGTTCCAGCTCCCTATTTTGTGCTTGTCCTTCGCCTGTGCGAGAACCTCTTTCGGAAGCTTTAGAACGATTGGAATTACTTCTTGTCTGTTGGGTAGCTTTCAGCTCTGTCGAAACGTTAGGTTCCTCTTCATTATTTTGTAATTCGCCTTCGTCTGTGCGAGAACCTCTTTCGGAAGCTTTAGAACGATTGGTATTACTTCTTGTCTGTCGGGCAGCCTTAAGCTCTACCGCAGCTTCAAGTTCCAACTCCCTATTTTGTGCTTGGCCTTCGTCTGTGCGAGAACCTCTTTGGGAAGCTTTAGAACGATTGGAATTACTTCTTGTCTGTTGGGCAGCTTTCAGATCTACCAAAACATCAGGTTCTACTTCCTTATTCTGTGCTTGAGCTTCGTCTGTGCGAGAATAATCTCTTTCGGAAGCTTTAGAACGGTTGGAAGTACTTCTTACTTCTGGGAATGCCTGGATATCGCCTTTGGTGGGATGGGAGGCTACCTTTTTTTTAGATTGTGATCGATTATTATGTGATCTATGAACTTGTCTGTCAGTGAGAGGATGTCCTCTAAGGGGGGCTCTATAGCACTTTAAAACTTCTCTTGTCTTAGAATTGCACCTACAACAAAATACACCTTACTACAGGTTCACTGCGATTATTCTGTGATCGACAGGTTTGTTTTGCCACTGGGCGGGCATCGCCTCTTTTAGGAGCTTCGATATATTCAGGATTGTTCTTGTTCTGGGGTCTATTAGTTTGCCTCTCATAAGTGCGAGAGGAGCCTCTCTTGTAAGACGATGAACGGGTTGAAGTACCTGTTGCCTTGTGGGACGTCTCGGCAACCTGAGTGGCTCGCACTTCTCTTTTAGGATGTGGAACACGATTTGACCTTGTCGATTTCTTGTATTCTGTACGATTTGGTTCTCTATGCGTTTCCGTTTTCGGTGATTGAGAACGATTTGAAAACTCTCTTAAAAATGCTTTGGGTTCGGCTCTTGTTCGATGCAACTTTGTTCCCGCGACTAAATTCTTTTTTTTTGAGCGCTTAGGAACATCAACTGACGCCTCACCTGGCTTGGAATTCCCCGTGCGTTGTCGACAACAGCTGCATACCGATCTGTTGCAGACCAATCGCTTGCCCGGAATAGCTGGCCAGGAGACTTCGAGTTCTCGCCTGTTATTTTGGGCTTTTTAGGCACTTCTTACATTACTTATTAATTAATGAATTGCTCTCTTACCATTCATCTGGCTGGCATATGGTGATCATTGTTCCAAAGCGATTGCCCTTCTGCCGAAAAGGCACCAGGACAATTGGCAATTTGGGCTTGCCCCTGCTCCTGCAAATAAAACGAAAATCAGAACTACTTTGAAAATTTCAAATCGAAAAACCTAAGACTATACAACTATTTCTTTGATATAATCCCTAGTACTTTGCTTAATAGCTAGGCCCACATATAAATATTATCTCAGTTAGTTAAAATGGAATGTTTGTATTCTCTATAGTAGGTACTCACTTAATGGGCACACGATGACAATATTTCTTCAGTTCTTCCATTATATTAGCAATATTTGCTTCATTTAGAGAATGGAGCTTCAAATGTCCATTGCAATCGGAATCGCCGTAGAAATCTCTGCCGCCCTTTTGAAAGGAATATTTCTTGAAACGCGTGTATATGCCGTCACATTATATTCCTCCAGGTTGGCAGAAATTTATTGTCGTCCTGCTTCAAGAGACATAATTTTAGATTCTTTCGACGCAACTTGTCACCTATTGGACCACAAGCATACGAACTTTTTCTGGAGTCTGTATTGATTCCTTCTTGAGCAGATATTTTGGCCAAGTTGATTAGTGCATTGGCTTACTTCTACATGATCGCATATGGAATCTTGAGCATTATTTATTGATCTATTCAAGCTCTTCTCACTGGCTAGCTTTTGTATTTGGGGGCGACTAACACTTCCTTATTTGAACGGAGTATGTGCTCATGTCCGAGCCAATAACGGGTGAATTGTCTTCGATACATTCGTAGCAACTGAAACGACTTTTGTTTGACTCCATAACAAGTTCTAAAATGTTTTTGCGTAATTGATGGCCTGGACCTACAGTTCGTTATATTACTGTGGCCAACTCAACTAACGGCTTCCTCGACTCTCGGATAATTTGTTAGCCGAGGCAGCTGGCTGCATGGAATTCATGGATTTTGCGTGTGTTGAAGGCTGAGCACATTTTTCTCTACCAGTCTTAGAACATTTAATGCTGATATCATCGGTTGCAGTGGTTTTTTTGTGCATCGACTCTATCCATTCGCATATTGGAGTCACATTGACTTCTATACAAGCATTTTGCGGCATTGCAGCTAGGCTCTGTTTTATCATCTAAAGCTGGCACTTGAATGGAAGCCAGCAGATCTTGAAGCACATGTGTCCTCCATGTATACGCTTTGCGACTCGATATCTTTTGATGAGGAATTCATACTTTTAAGCTCGGCTAGTGAGCGATTGGCATGCCTCGTTTTTGATGCACACAGCTTGGGGCCACATCTTTCTGCATACACGATCGAACATAGGTGGACTTATCCGAAAAGGTTTTAGGAGGCTGACTATATAGTGAAGCGGCCATAGTCTGATTTGAGGTCGATCTTGGTAAGCTCTGCGACACGATTTGCAGTCACACACGAATTCGCTCTGTCCCGATTCCATTTGCGTACCATCGAAAGTTGAATAATCATACATCGAATTCTGCATACTCTGCTCGTTCGTTTCCATAGTTTCCATGCTGTTGTTGCAACCCTGAACAGAAGGTAGGAAGTTCCTCAATGGCGGTAAACCATGGGCCATGGCACTGCCCACACATTTGCTTCTCATATTTTTAAATGCATTTGCCTTGCTCTCCGCCTCCAGATCTTGAAAGTCCCCTATAGTTGCAGGTATTTTGTTTACGTTCCAGCAATTGTGATGATAACTGCGACATATTGTTGAAATTGGGGAATCGTCTGTTTTCCAAATAACTTTCGCTAATGGGCGCATCATCAAAGTAGAAGGTATCGCGTTCCACTGATCTGTGTGCATTGGTATTCCAAGAGAGGGTCTTAGATGTTGTCGGTTTGGTAACCTGGCGCTGCAACGACATCTCCGATTCGGCTGGAGCTCTATACCTAATTGTATCTTTGCTGCACGGCGGTAATGGGGTACTGGCTTTGTCTTTAAATTGCGAACGATTTCGATATAATTGCCTTCTGTTAAAGGCATCGGTCATTTCATTCTCCCTACTCGCAGTCAATGCATCGATATTGCAGCCTGTTCTCTGGGATGCCAGTGTTAAGGCCGAGTTCGGTGGAGGTCTGTTTCCAGACAAGTTATTGCTACAGATCGAATATTGACTGATGGGATTGCCGCAGCTGTACTGTGAAAATGTATTATTTGGCATGGTTTGTGTTTGAGAGCACATTTCGCGCATATTGGGCTGTGATGGGACTCTCTTGCGTTGACCACTTTTCTTTTTTTGGCAATCTTTTCCACAGCCCGTGGGCTGGGTGGACTCAGCAGGACACTGCGGCTGCACCACCTGGCTCTGTGTGGTTATCAAATGATGGCTCTGTGGCTGCACGGGCTCTGCAGGAGACGGCACCGCAACGGGCACACGTGCCAGCATAGGCGGACAACAGCCCATCGGACGCATTGTAATGCACAACTTACATGGCGGCTCAGCCAGTGATGAAGGTGTCCTGGCTACGGCTAGGTTGTGACTTTCCTTGACCAAGGCATTGTTGTTGGGATCGGGCAGTGCTTCTGTTTTGTTATCCATTATGGAAAAGCCTTTGTTCATGGTATTCATCGAAGTATTTGATAATAGGTCCCAAATGTTACCAAAACAAATTGTTCCGGGTAAATTAACGCGTATGGGCACATTGAGGTCAAACCTGTTACAGGATGTAAAAGAATTCATGAAAAAAAAAAAATTGGGAACTGAAAAAACAAAACTCTGAACTCTGATGCTTACCAAATTTCATTGCTGTGGCTTTGCTCGAGCTTCGGCTCGGGTATCGGCTCGAGCTTCGGTTCAGGAAGAGCTGGGGTTTGGGCCTCAGGAGTTGGACTTTTTGGCTTGCCCAGCTTCTTGGACTTCTTTTTTGGTTTGGTCTTCTCCAACACCTTCTCATTCTTGATAGGTTCCATTTTTGGTGTGACTTTGGCTGGCTTTTGTTTATTTTCTTTGCGTTCTAGCGGTTGCAATTAGTTTTTTCAGATAATTTAAGTCCACGGCACAGGATGGAGGACATTTTTGGGTTATCGTTAATGCTTTTGCCATTGCTCCAATCTTCTTTTTAACGGTTGTAGCAGCTTTCATTAATTTCGATTTCCGACTATGCTCAAGCCTTGGACTAAGCTCGTTGATTGATGATGGACTTAGCCTAACCGGAGACCGCATGTTGAGATCATCTCGCTTTGCTTGATCTACCATTTGAAGTTTTGCTCCTTTCTTAGATGACGCAGTAAGCCTCGAAAGCCTTGGACTAAACTCGTTGGGTGATGATGGACTTGGCCTAACCGGAGACCCCAATCTGAGATCATCCTGTTGCTGGCGGTTTGTTTGATCAGCCATTTGCAGTCTTGCCCCCGTCTTAGATGACGCAGAAGACATTGAAAGCCTGGCACTTAACACGGTGGGTGATGGAGATCCCATTTTGAAATCATCTAGCTGCTTGCGGCTTGTTTGATCAGCCCCATTCTTAGATGATGCAGTTGACCTTAGGCTTCGTGCCGAGCGAGCCTGATTTGCCTCCCGCGGCGAGTTGAACTTAGCAGAGACTCTTGATTTAGTTGATTCTGTTGCAACATCGATTGGCGTTAACAATTTAGAGCCATCTCTCGAAGTATCCTCCGTTTTGCTGAATTTTCGACTTAATTTGAGCGATGCTGAGGCTTGGGATATTGGTGAACCATCTATCGATTCCAGTGGTAATGACGTCTTTGAGTTGTCCGTAGAGAGCTTTCTAGATTCTGAGGCTTCATCAGAGCTATCCTGAACCAGTTCTCCGCGCAATTTAGATGACGCGGAGGCTTTACTTTTAGTTGACCCTGAAATGGATCCAGTTGGCGTTAAAAATTTGTCGCCTTCCCTCGAAACGGCCTCCGTTTGGCTACTTCTTCGATATTCCCCTTGAGATTTGGATGACACAGAGATTTTTTTTTCAGGTGAACCATCCATCGATCTCCTTGAGAAAATCATATTAGAGCTGTACGCATGTGACTTAGCAGATCCTGAAGCGCGAACAGCGCTATTCTCAGGCACCTTCTGCGGTGGACTAGACATTTCAGAGGCTTTCAATTTAATTGATGCTGTGGTTGATCCCATTGGCGATATTAACCGAGACGAGGTCTCCGTTTTGCTGTCTCCTTGATATTCCCTTAGCTTGGAAGACACCGAGCCTCTTGTTGAACCATTCATAGATTCCCTTGGTTCTGTCATCTTTGCGCTCTTCCTAGATGATTTATTAGACACTGACGCGTGACCAGAGCTAACCTGAGCAGGCCCTGGAGCCGATTTAGATGACGTAGAAGCTTTAGATTTGATTGATTCTACAACAGAGCCAACTGGCGTCAATAGCCCAGAGCCATTGATCGATGCAGTCATCTCTCCATTGTAGCTACGGTCATCTATGCGATTACTCGTTGCAACCGTAAGACATCTCAACGGATATTCGTTTCGTTTACAAACGCCCGAATATCCCATCCGAGACGTGACACTTGACTTGGCATCATCCTTTTTATATGCTTGCAGGGCCGTAATGTTATGTATTACTTTTATGGACTCCTGACTCATATGCTTGGGACAATTTTGGCATATACAGCCATTGCTGGCATCTGTTACCAATTGATGGTGGCAACAGTATTGACAGCATCTATGTGAACAGCAACACATTGCATTAAAATTATACATTTTTTATTAAAAATGTCAAACAATCGGTTTGAGAATTGCTTCTATTTTTTTTTTAATAAAAATCTGTAATTTTAAACGGAATATGTCGTCAATCTCATTCGGGAAGCAAAAAGTTTACAATTCGAGGGAATAACTTAAAATTTTGCGCCGAATACTGTGAAATAAATTTTACGATTGACAGCAAATTCAGTTCATAAATAAATTTCAAACAATTTCCAAATCATTTTGAATATAGCAGCCCTACTCCACCACACGGATTAGTCTTAGGACCAAGAAACAATATATATATATATATTAAAGTAATATTTTGTGAGAGCTTATCATATTAATGTTTTGACAATTTTGATAATACATATATATATATATAATAAAATGCAACTATTTATAACTTGAAACGGAAGCATTGACCAAATTGGATTTAGCTCAACTCTGGTTAAAACTCTCCATAGATAAACCGAGTTTGTAATGTACCGTACATTATACATAAGGTCGCTGTTGTGCACTCCTTGTTTCACTGTACATGGCACGTTACCTTACGAACTCCTTTCGGTAAAGCCAAGAAATACTGTGCGGAGGCTACTCTAGTGGCCCGGCCAGCAGCGCGGCATCATGAATCGCATCTGAGCATACCGCTGCCGGCAACAGGGCTGTCGATAACAATTCCCCGGAAAACTGTA